TTTTTTTAAGTTTTGTATTTCACGTTTTTCTCAGTTAATTTTCAAGATTGAGTAAAGACTCTTGAAAATGATCTAAGTTTGGATCGAAAGCTCGAGTGTTAAATAAATAAATTCAGAAGAATTTTATTAAAAATGTTTTGCATAGCAGTATTATACTTTATATTTAAAAGATTGAGTAAAACTTTTATATGGCGACGTAGTCGGCATTCAGACCTGTCGATCTATGTAGAAATATTTGAGTTACCACTTATATTAATTGAGAGAAAAGCATTAGAATAAGAAGCATGTGTCTCGAATTTTTTCTTTCCTGTTCTTTCCTAATTTCGATACTCTAATAAGTTACAAATACATGGATTTTTACATCTGCGTAAAAAAATAGTTTTTCGGCTTATCAAGTTGGTCAAAGCATTCTCAATTTTATATAGGAATACTCAGAAGACTACGGCGAATCAAACCATATATTTGTTTCTGGAAGAAGCGCATATCTTCATGATCTTCTTCAGTGAAGAATAAACTTATATGTGTCGAAATTAAATCTTCTTCCTTATTTCGACACCCATTGAAATACATGGCATTTCAATAGACTTTTAGAAAAAAAGATGTGGACGCTACCCAAAAGTCAAAATTATCATATACTCCTGGAACAAAAAATGTTTCGTACGCTCAGAACTACAACCGGTAAAAGCCTGCTGCTCAAGAATCTGTCAGACCAAAATTTCGTTCAATTGGGTATCTGCAACTGCTCTACAATTATCAATACTGTTAATAGCCTACATTCCATTAGTTAACTAGTTATAAGCTGCAAAGGTCATGTGTAAAGACCTCCAAAGGATTTTCTTTATCATTATCATCAGTTTCTTTAACAAGGCTTTACAAAAAATGCTATTTTACTATCACCATTGTTTCATTTATATATTTTTACATAGATCGACACGCCTGAATGCCGGCTACGTCGCTATATAAAAGTTTTACTCAATTTTAAAAATTAACTGAGTAAAACGTGAAATACGAAACTTAAAAAATTTAGTATCGAAATTAGGGCATGGGACTCTAACTTGATATATCCCTAATATATCACAGATATATCTGAGACGTACACTTTTACTTCTAATGGAGATCACATGTTCAATCTTTACATCTAACAAGATATCTAAGCGCAATAGAACGAGATTTTTTCTGTTTATTTTTCTCTTTTTCGTTCTGTTTTCTTCGACGATAAAGAACGAAGAAATATCTTTACCATATAGAAAAAAGAACACAATATAATTGAGCTCTACCATTTAGTGTATCTTTATCTTTTTCTTGATGTTACATGCAGATTACGCTTTTTCCTTTCTGTATGTATCCTTATGTTTGACATACAGATACCTGCATGCGACATCAAGAAAAAGATAAAGATACACTAAATGGTAGAACACTCTCTATACATATGTGCTAAGATATGAAAAGATAGAGATATTCCTTATTTGATACGGCTCTATTATGTGTTTTAGTCGGGTTCGCACAAAGAAAACGAAAAATGGAGTTCGAAAATAGGACATGTGAATATAACTGAACTATAGAGAAGTCGTTTCGTAATTTGTCTCTCAAACAGTACACGCATTCTACACTAAATATGTCTAATGGTTACGATTTGAATAACCTATCATTCGATATCTTAACCTATTCGAACAACAAGTTCAATGAATTTGTTAAAGAAACTTTGGGAGATGAGGAATTAGATATATTTAAAGTTCAATCAATAAAAAGTGTGCATTCTCTATTACGTACAAAAAACGTTTTTGGTATATTTGATCTCGATTGTGATGAGTTAATTAATATCAAAGAACGCTGTTGTTTCAAATTAAAAGATAACAGTTATGTTATAAAACAAGGTATTATTTCAAGTGTTGCAGAATTTGTTGATACGTTAAAAGCATTAGAACAAAAATATAAAATGTCGTTGAAACAAAAACACTTAAATTTACCGATAACGGATGATAACACAATGAAAAATACAAGTAATAATACTTTATATCAAACATCATCATCCTCATTTATAACAACTAATAATACTCAAACACCAACAACAACGATTCCAATATCAACACAACCTGTACCGCTAGTTTCTCGATCCTCATCATCGTCTATGTCAATTTACAATGTCCAGCAAAATCATTTAGAAGTAATAACAAATGCGGTAGATAAATGGTGTAATAACAATTTGAATGATATTGTTATCAAACAAGATGATGATTATATGATTAATTTAGTTTCACAAAATGATAAAGATGTAGAAGCGTCAATAAGATGTGGTTGTGGAACACGTATATTAATTCCATTACGTGCAGATTCATCAACGTTTCATTTATCCAGTTATTATCGTCATTTAAATACGGGCCGTTGTAGAATGATACGTAATAAACAAAAACAAAATAATGTAAGTAAAGATTTAGAACAAAAAGATGAAGATGTTCATGAAATGATTGATGAAACTGGTGATAACAATGAGATTACTGATGATGAAACAAATTCAATACAAAATGATAATGGGAAAGAAAATACAAAATCTTCATCTTCCGTAGCGTCTCCATTAACCACAGTTGATACACGTTTAAGTTTAAAAAGAAAATATAAATCGGCTACTCAGAATAGTAACCGAGAGAATCAAAAAACGAAATCGTCTTTGCCTAACAAGAAGAAAAAAGTTTAAAAAAAACACTAACTCTCAATGTAAATTTTTTATTTCTCACTACAATGTACAAACAGATATCTTTCTTTTATTATTCTTTGGAAATTATGACTTAATGTTGATATCCTTATGAAAATTTTACTCAGTTTATCTCGATTAGTGTTTGATTTTCATCTGTATTTCATTAATCAGCCCAGAAGTTTACTGTTTTGCTTTTTCTACATATATTATCGATTTTTCTTTTCTATAAGATTACCGAACTA